TAGAGTGCAATTTTGTTCACCCCTTCCTTGGAGGGTGAACATCACCCCCATAGCTCAAATGTTGCCATTTGACATTTCATTTTTTTTTTGCCACATGGCAAGCAAATAGGGAGGGGGGTTATGTTCACCCTCCAAAGAGGGGTTGAACAAAATTGCACTCCATGATCTAGGAGACGAATTAACATGAATATGGGAATTGAAAAATACTATCCTCCGTCTCTATTTAATCGCAACCAGGGCCAGTCCTGACATTTTATGGGCCCAGGGCGAATGAAAAAAGAAGGCCCTTAAAAGATCATATAAATATATTGCAAAATCTTAACTTTATAGTTTATATAAGCAAATTTCAACATACAAAGTAATGTAAGTCTTTTATCAAAGTCTTAATATATAGTATAAACTAAAAAAATAAAAAGTATTTAAAAAAATAAAAAAAAATAAAACTAGAGAATTACTTGTTAAATTGGAATTTCATATTTGGAAGACATTTTTGAGAAAATTAGGAGAGTGTTGATTGTTGAGCGAAATGAATTAAAGTCCAAAAATGAAACCTTGAAATTAGGCCGGCCTAACGGGAATTGATGTCCGACCGAGGCCATTTGAGGCCCTTCCCTATAGAACTTTTTCATGAAAAAATTTAAACATATTCTTCATGAAATCTATAATATCTCCACAAGATTTCAGATTAAAATTCAATCTGAAAGTCAGTTAAATAAATTATTGAAAGATAGTGCGTAGTATGTTTCAATATTTATTTAACTGACTTCCCGGTTGAATTTTAAACTGAAATTTTGATGAAAAATTAAATACTCTAAAAAAGTTTCATAAAAAATTCCTCCATAAAGGGGACCAAATGACCTCAGGCTGGTATGAAATGTCCTCTCTATATGTATCCATATATACTCCGCATATAATTATGGGCCCTTGTAAATGTTGGGCCCGGGGCACAAGCCCGGCCTGCCCTTGCCCAGGGCCGGCCCTGATCGCAACATGTTTAATTTTACACTATTCACATGTTCTACTTTGACTACATTTTATATTATTATTTTATGAAAATTATTTTTAAAAAAAATATTTTTCAATTCATCTCATTACAAATTTTCAAAATCTAATTTTTTAATATTTTTACTAATAGAGATTAACATATAATTACGGTCAAAGACGTACATTGACAAATGTAAAATGTTGACCGTTGAAACTAAAAAAGAATAGAGGAAGTATGATCTCGATCTCGACTTCTAATGAAAATGCCATCTTTATTGTCAATGTCTCAATATTGTCGTCTTGATTGTAATACGTGCAGGGACGGATCCAGGATTTCTATTCAAGGGGGGCGAAATTTTTCGGTAGTGTAGGGGGTGAAAAAAATTTCATAAGTGTAGTGGGGCGAATTTTTTTTCCCTAGTGTAGCGGGGCGAATTTTTTCCGCTACTGTAGGGCTATGCGGCTAATTTTATTCAAAAAATGACATTAATACATACACATCCCCAACGACATTTAAATCTATTAAGTAGTACATTCTAAGTTTAAATTAGACGATGACAAAGACATCAACCAATACATTTTTAATAACTTCTACATTGTTTAACCTCATGAATCGGTTATTATTGAATTGTAATTTTTGTCCGGCCACCAAGGATGGTGTTCGTGAGTCATGACTCATGAGAAGTTTTCTTAATATTACAATAGTAGTATGTATGATATTATTATTTTTAGAATAATATGCACCACATACACACACATATATGGTGCATATTATATTTTAATATTTGTATTAATGCTATAATAATTTAAAGTTTATTATCTATGCAATAAATTATTTTTAGAAAGCAAGAAGTAAATGAATTATGTAATTTAATGTCAATAAACATTTATATTTTGGATTCATTTCACGTGATCTAAAAACTGTGTAATTAGTGTGTCTGATATTTAATATTGTTTGATATATATTTTACAAAATCAAGTACTTGTTATCTAATAAAGATAATTAAACGTTACAAAACTAGGAATTCTTATATAATAAGTATCCTAAATCTTAAACAACGAGTTATTCTATTGTTTATTTGTTTAAGTTATGTAATTATTTTAGATGTTCCTTCTTTTAAATCTTCAATTAAGTATTACATTATGTAACACTATATATTAATTTTGAAAATTAAAAGCTAAGGGGGGCGAATCTAATTAAATTATGAAAGTTTAATGAAAATATTACATATATGGTAGAAAATTTTGAAATTCCAAGGGGGGCGGTCGCCCCCCTGCGCCCCCCTAAATCCATCCCTGAATACGTGACTTAACTTGAACATGCTTTATTCAAAAAAAATACTTGAACATGGTCTGGTATATATTACAAAGAGTTAATTCCCTAAATAGGACTAAAACAATGAACAAATGCACAAATAGGACTTCCATGTTTTATAGGACTAAAAATGCATTGACTTGACAAAATTACCCTTAATTAAATTCTAAACATAATAAAAAAAAATCTTTTTTAAAACCCGAGTTGCAGACTTGCACGTTCCAAGCCCAAGCCAAAACTACTGTTATCGCCATATGCCAAAACTACAACCGTGTGCCAGAACTCCCGCAGCCTCCCGCCGCCACTGCCGTTCGCCGCCGCCGCCGCCGCCGCCACCACCAAACCAGGTCCGCCACCACCAAACTAGTTCTGCTGCAGCCGCAAATCCTATCATAGATTCTGCCATAGTATAATTGCCATAAATTTGGCAAAATGTGTTGCTCGCAATATAAAAACCAGAAAACAAGATTTTAAAATGGAATGAGAACTTTCTGCCAAAAATCAGGAATATGAAGTTGACTAACAAAAACCAGAAACATTGAACAAAAATGAATACAATGACAGTTTTTTCATTAGACTTGGCAGTTTGTCGAAAAAACAAGAATTCTTTCTGCCATAGTTTAATCATCAAATCTGCCTAAAAGATGACAATATTTTTGAATCGGTGCCAGGAAAAAACTGTCAAAATGTAATTATAAATATTGCTCAAAACGAAGAACATATTCAAAATTTGATAACTTAGAATACTAATCGAAATAAAAAAAATTCCATGGAATCAGAAATTTTCTTCCAAAAAAATGATGCAAACTTTCAAAAATTTAATGAAATCAGAAAATTTCTTCCAAAAACTCACAAAATCCATGAATAAAATTTGAATTTTTAGACGAAAATTAAAGGAGAAAGAAGGAGGAGGAGGAGGAGGAGATGAAGAAGAAAAAGAAGATGGAGATACCTGGAAATATCAAATATGGAATCGACAATGATGTGGAGGCAGAGGCAGCGTAGGCGGAAAATATGGGTGGTGATGGCTATGGAGAACTGGTGGCGGTGCTAAATAGTAGAGCCAGCAGTGGTGAGGCGCAGCGATGAGCAGCGAAGATGGAGCCGATGGCAGGATTGATAGATAGATAGAAGCTATGTAGCACTTATACCGGTACGCGGAAACGCGGAAACGGGTACGGGGATACGTCAAAACCAAAAAAAGTAGGATACGGATACGGGGCCATATTTATAAATATTAAAAGTTATGGGGGTGTATTTACAAATATTAAAAGTTATACGGGGCTATTTATAAATATTAAAAATAGATTTATATATATATATATATATATACACACACACACACACACATACATATAATATCCTATGATGTCTACTCATTCATTGCATTGAAGCATTTTCCTTTTTCAAGATACTTAGTAGTAATAAATTCATAATATTTCTCATATACACCAGTGCATCTCGAAATATAAATGTAGTCAATAAGTCATTAATTTAAAATGAGAAATAAGTCAAACAACTATAATCTTAAAATTAAAAGTGCAAGTATCCAATTCGGAGTACGAGTTAATGACTTAATTCGGATATAGCCATATAGGCCCATTATTTGATTACCAAGTAAAATGTAGTTTTGGATTTTCATTTTTTTAGAATTTTATTAAGTAAATTTTGGGATTTTTTTTTTAAAAATAGTTGATACGGGTATCCGTCAGGATACGAGTATCGGAAACTTTCAAAAAATTACAAAAAAAATGGAAACTTTTAAAAATTGCAGATACGGCCGGGAACGTACGGTACGGGTATCCTAGAGTATCGGATACGGGAACGTATCGTATACGCCGATACGCTACCCCAGCGAAGTATCCGTGCTTCATAGGATAGAAGGATAGGTTTTCATTTAATTATATAAGAGAGTATAATTGTACTCTTTAGTCCTATTTAGGGAATTATAAACTTAAGGTCCTAATTATGCATTTAAGTTTAGTATTAGTCCTATTTAGGACAATTCCTAATATACAAACGTAGAAAACTTTGACAAGAAAATTGCTAGGAGTATGACTAAAAGAGATGATAATTTCTAATATATGATTAAACAATTTTTAATTTTTACATTAATGATGTTTTGCATGTATGATATGTGTTTGGTGCTATTTCTCTCATGAGTTGTGCTAGGTGTACACATTTTTGTGTACACTCGTTTGTCTCACACAAAAAATATTGTTTGTCCACAAACAATTCTACAAAATTGTACAATTCTTTGTGCGTGAGATAGACGAATGTACAAAATGTTTACACAAAAATGTGTACACAAAACATTTTTCTTCTCTCATATGGTGTCATGTTTAAATTTGATAGCAATAAATTAGGAATATACGAATATTCTAGTAACATTTAGATAAATTTGCTTATTAGAAAAATGTTTCTGGTTTTTAATTCTGGAAAACAATAAAGTGAACATGTTATTCAATTTTTCCAGAAAATAAAGAATTTTCTCCATTAGTAAACAGGTAAAAGTATTGATAGCGGTAGAGAAAAGAGTATGTATAATGTATAAATAGCGTTTTCCTTTATTTAGGTCGTTGCCGCGCAGTACTGAATACTGGCTCATCTTTCTACTATCACGCCTTCCATGCTTCCACATTTCACGGAAGAACGCCAACACTGAGACTCCCATCATGGTTTAAATAACATTTACATGCCAGAGAAGCTTGAGAGTAAAGAGGGAAAATTCTGACAGAAAATGTTGAAGTTAGAGGATTTGGCATTGTGGGTATTGTTATCTGCTGCAGTTATTTCTTCCCCAATATCAGTGTGCGCGAAGAAAGTAATGGCAAGGAAAGAGGATATTCCATACATCAAATGCCAGGTCTGTGAGATGCTTGCTTATCAACTCTACCATCAAGTTCAGCGAAAGAAAGCAGCAATCTCACCCAAGAAGGTAACTCTATCTTCAGGGGACTTGGAATTTATACCCAGTTTTTCAATTTGAGTTTGCTTTTCAAAATCATTAATAAAATATAAACATCTTTAAACATTTTTAAGTTAACACTTACATTTCTTGCAAGTTGGAGTTGTATTGTATGTTTAACAGAATTTTCATAGACCAGGTACTAATTGAATGATTTTGAAAATAGGGCTCGAACTCAAATTTAGATGGAAAAATTGGAAGCTCTATATTGGTTATATATGTTGATGATTCTTGAACAACCCCTTTTTTATATATAGATTTTTCTTTAAATATTACTATATTGAATCTCAATTCTAAAAAAGGTGACTACTTTTATATATAGATAAATATGTAACTAACATGGTAATAAATTTGGAAATACAACCATGACATTTCAATGGTTTTAAACCTTCTGTCTAATTTTACTGGTTTTGAACCAAAGCTTCACTTTTTAGGAAAAAAGTTGGAGTAACCTAGTAAGAAATTTTATAGAAATTTGTATTATTTTAAAAAGTGTACTAATATGAATATAAAATATAGTTAAAATGACAAAATAGCTAAATATTTCAAAAACGTTAAAATAAAAAAAGTTTCTTTTTGTAGAAAAATGTAAAAGTTAGTAATTTAAAAGGCTAGATATAAAACTAAAACTTAAAAATTACTCCGTATAAAATTAGAATTTAAAATTATTAAAAAATGTAGATAATACAAGTAATTAAAAAGCGCAAAATACTGTAGATTTTGACTTTTTATTTTTTTTACCTTTTTTTTTCATTTTTTCAAATTTATCATTTTTCTTAATTTTGCTATTGGATTTCCCCCCTAAATAAGTGTGCTTTTATGATATTTTTTAGCATGTAAACTTAAGTGATAAGTTTGAAATAGGAGAAGGTTATATTTGAACCTTTTCCTCAAAATAGAAAAAAACTCTAAATATAAAAAAGATACATATATTTGTAATATTGGAATGAATCTTTATGCAATACTACCTCTCTTCTTAAATAATATTAACATGTTACAGTATGCATATGCTCCACTCTGACCACATTATATTCATTAGTATTTTAGAAATTCAATTTTTGAAAAGTATTGTCAAATTCGATTAATTTAAACTTTTCAAAATCATTTTTTTTAATTTTTTTACTAATAGTGAATTAAACATATTACATTAATAGTCAAAGTTCTGTGTTGGCAAACATGAGAAATGGAAGTGTTGCAATTAAAAAAACGGAGGAAGTATAAGAGTTAGGTTATCTTCTCTACTTGCCATGGACAACTAGAACAAGTTAAGTGTCATTAACTCATTAATGATGAACTTTATCACACCTTCTCCATGGTTTTGCAATCTTACTTTCTATGCTCAAATATTCAGTTTGGGCTCATTTATATTATGAAGAAATGTTTTTAAAACTTAAAGTATATGATTGGTAACTTTATCCTTTCAGTTCTTTTTATATATTATGTGCATGGAGTAAAATACATATAATAATATGATTTCAGATCTCAGAGTACCAGATCATTGAGATTTCAGAGAGCGTCTGTAATCTAAAGAAGCAAGAAGCTGATTGGATTCTCAAAATTGATATTGTAGAAGAAGGAGATAGGTTGGCGGTAAACTTCCACATTTATGCTTGCTTGTTTCTGCAAGTTATGTTCATCTTTGCTGCATTCCTTAAGAGAATCATAGATTGTTCAAGAGTTCTTGAACTCATCTGGGTAATCTAGATTTAACGTGTTATTATCCATGCCCAGCTTATTGAACAAGACTCTGAAGGACAATGTAATTCAGAATGCAAAACAGTTGAACGTGCTTGTCAAGAAGTAAGATTTCTTGCCCGTTTTGTTCTTAAGGTGTTTGCATTTTATCAATTCGCTGCCATCAAAAGCTCTTGGGACCATGTATGGTTAATCTTTCCCATTTACGTTAGGAAATCTTTCAATCAATGTAATGCAAAAATAGATTTGTTTCACTGTGGTGGGAGTACAAAATTTCATTCCTTTCTTCCCACTTTAAAGATTGCCCTTTCTAAAACTTGATACCAGGTTAAATTGTTTTCTTAAGAAGATGGTGTGAAGTGTAAAATCTTAGCTTTTTTGTGGCTGTAAGCCTGTAATGAATATTTGACCTCCTATTACTTGGTCGTCTACTTTCCCACTCTCTTTTATGATTTTGACACCGTGATTGATTAGCAAAGACACTTTTGGTTCTTTCTTTGAATTTTTGCACCTTGAGTCCTCTAACTCTCACAATAAAGTCATTTCTGTCATCGTCCTTGAATTTTTTCACGTTTAGTCCTGACTTTTGTGACATTAGACGTTTTTAATACATGTTCTTCAAATTATAACATTTATTGCTCTAGTGTTGTGATAGACTGGTCTTGTACCCACCTTTGATTTTTTCACATTTAGTCGTCTGACTATGGTGAGAGTCACATCTTTGACATTCCGAACTATTGTGAGGACCAAAAAGTAGTTGGAGGACTAAAAGTGTCATTCTGACAATAGTTGGAGGATCAAAATGGTCACTTTCATAATATTAAGATGATTTAAAGTGTACAAGTTCAAATATGGCATTGTAAATGTCCATCCTACATTAATCAAAGAACTGAAAGTGAGAAAATGCAAAAACAAGTACCAAGGTGTCATTGTCAGACTAAAAGTGGGAAAACTCGTGTTCAGAAGAACATTACTTGATTTAGCTAATATTTTCTTGACAGAGGTTTAGGTTTTGTTGGTCTTGAGGTCAGTACCTTCCTGCTCTATGGGGTTTCAGGTTATGGACTATTCTGATACTGATGTAGCAGAGTATTTGTACAAAAACAACCCTGAACTTGATTCTCTGTTAAATTTTCTCTGCAAAGACCTATCCAAAGCATGTAGCAGGATGCCACCGCCTGTTCCTAAGGTAACTGCTCTGAGCTAAAAAAGTTGGTTATCTCTTAATCACCACCATTCTGGTATTGTGTTTCACAATGTCAATCATTCTTAAATTTTTGCGCACATAAGCATTTTCTATTTTGAAACAGGATAGGGCACCTGGAGAACCTTTCCTTCCCAAGCCCCCAAAAGATGCTGAATTGGAAAATATACTAAAAGCTATGCAGGTATATTTATTGTTGCCTCAGTGAGAGACATAAAGAAGAATCTTCTTTTCTTTATTATTTCCACGAACAATCTCTATGTATTATATTATTGTTCTTCAGAGTATGCCTGGAGCACCCAGCGTGGAAGTGTACTCCGGGGATGAATTGAACCAAAACTTTGGTGATAGTGATGATGATGATGAAATCGACCTCTCCTTGGATTGGGTACACATTGAGCTCTTGTTCTTTGCACCTATCTACAAATTCAAGTCTACTTTTTTTTTTTTGGTTCCACCTAGACTCTAAGCACTTGTTTGGTTCAATGATTCAGAAGAGATGGAATGGGATGGGTGATATATTATATTATTTTTAAATAACTTCTACATTTTAGCTGGTTGATGATAAAGTGAAGAGATAGAAAAACTAGAGAGTACACGATTTAGAGCCCGTTTGGTAGCACCAAAATCGGCTGTTTTGGCTGATTCTGCTGAAATTTATGATATTCTGGCTGGAGTGGCTGTTTTGGCTGATTCTGCTGATTTAAGAAAAAAATATTTTAAAAATATATTTTATTAATAAATTAAAGAAAAAATTATATGTAAAAATAGCTAAAATGGTCCTCTACAGTAACTTCAGCCAATACAGCCAGAAAAGTAACTCCAACCTTACTTTTTCGGCTTATTACACAATTCAGCGCGCGAAAGTAAAAGTTACGTGTTTGGTGAAAAAGCTGGCTGATAAGCCTGATAAGCCGAAAACAGAGTTTTCCAAACGGGCTCTTAAATGGCATGACCACATAGTTATTTCCAGTTGAAGACTGAAATAGATATGAATTGGTCTCTCCATCTTAATAGACTTTGACTGTTCCGGTTTACAATGGTCTACGGATGATAATTTACTTTTTACGCTGATAGTACTTAAATTAGTATTATGTAGTAATGTTTAAAACTCACATTACAAGAAACTGCATAAAGAGTTCTAACGAATCACAAAAACTGAATTTGAATATGATAAAAACTTAGAGCCCGTTTGGTAGCACCAAAATCGGCTGTTTTGGCTGATTCTGCTGAAATTTATGATATTTTGGCTGGAGTGGCTGTTTTGGCTGATTCTGCTGATTTAAGAAAAAAATATTTTAAAAATAAATTTTATTAATAAATTAAAGAAAAAATTATATGTAAAAATAGCTAAAATGGTCCTCTACAGTAACTTCAGCCAATACAGCCAGAAAAGTAACTCCAACCTTACTTTTTCGGCTTCTTACACAATTCAGCGCGCGAAAGTAAAAGTTACGTGTTTGGTGAAAAAGCTGGCTGATAAGCCTGATAAGCCGAAAACAGAGTTCTCCAAACGGGCTCTTAATACTCAAAATCAGAGAGTAAAAAGGGCAGTGTTGACCATTGAATAGTAAACAGACAAAGCTGCTTATTGGGACGGAGGTAGTAGTCAAATCTCCCCTCCCCTTCCTTTCGTATAACAGTGGTTTTGTGTCAATTGCTTTATTAAAACAATGGGGTATAACCCTCTGACTAATTCAAGAGTGTACTTTCAGGGAAAACCTGTAAAAGAGAAACAGACTAAGGAGCTGGATTGGAAGCAGAAGATCAGCAAAGTGATAACGGATACAGGCGAGACGCTGAAGAACCATATCGCCACGGCATCTTACAAGTTAAGTGATTGGTGGAGAGCAAAGAAGGAACAAATGGATAAGAATCACAAGTCTAGTAGTAAAACTGAGCTGTAGTTGTGATCTTTGTTAGCAGGGATGGATTTATGAATCTAAATTAATTAATTAGATTCATAATTAATTGGACTTTCAAAATTTTTTACCATATACGGAGTATGTAATATTTTTATAAAAGTTTCATAATTTAATTAGATTCGCCCCCCTTAGCTTTTAATTTTCAAAATTAATATATAAGTGTTACATAATGTAATGCTTAATTGAAGATTTAAAAGAAGGAACATCTAAAATAATTTACATAACTTAAACAAATAAACAATAGAATAACTCGTTGTTTAAGATTTAGGATACTTATTATATAAGAATTCCTAGTTTTATAATGTTTAATTATCTTTATTAGATAACAAGTACTCGATTTTGTAAAATATATATCAAACAATATTAAATATCAGACACACTAATTACACAGTTTTTGGATCGCATGAAATGAATCCAAAATATAAATGTTTATTGACATTGAATTACATAATTCATTTACTTCTTGCTTTCTAAAAATAATTTATTGCATAGATAATAAACATTAAATTATTATAGCATTAATACAAATATTAAAATATAATACGCACCATATATATGTGTGTGTATGTGATGCATATTATTCTAAAAATAATAATATTAAGAAAACTTCTAATGAGTCATGAATCACGAACACCCTCCTTGGTGGCCAGACAAAAATTACAATTCAATAATAACTGATTCATGAGGTTTAACAATGTAGAAGTTATTAAAAATATATTGGTTGATGTCTTTGTCATCGTCTAATTTGAACTTAGAATGTATTACGTAATAGATTTAAATGTCGTTGGGGATGTGTATGTATTAATGTCATTTTTTGAATAAAAATAGCCGCATAGCCCTACAGTAGCGGAAAAAATTCGCTCCGCTACACTAGGGAAAAAAATTTCGCCCCACTACACTAACAAAATTTTTTTCGCCCCCTACACTAACGAAAAATTTCGCCCCCCTTGAATCGAAATCCTGGATCCGTCCCTGTTTGTTAGGATATATAGAACAACACACACATACTCAATGAGCTCCTATTACTTTCACTAGGATTTGTAGTGGAAACTTGAAGTGTTTGGATGAGGAATTAAACCATGAAAGAGTAGAATACTTTACAAAATACGAATTCCTGGGCAAAATATAGTATAGTTATAAACTATATAATGCAAATATGAATTCGAGATTTTCTTCATAAGTTTATATATATAGAGCCAACTTGGGTCCCTGCCCTATTTTACGAGAATCATAATCGGAACAAAGATAATTGGTGTTTGTTTCTGGTTCATCTGGTGGATCAATGAGTAAAAGTTATTAGGGGCTGAATAATAAATGGAGTACATACAGGGGAAAATACTTTAATGAAATATTAGATGGAATAGAAAATTTGTAGTACAAAATTGTTTGAAACTAAGTAAAGTACGTACGTAGTATATTACAATATTAAGAACCCCTAATAACGTCGATTATTTTTGAAAGTGATTTATTATAGTTTCATTTGTGACTTGTGATTGTTTGAAATGATTCTCTTTTTTTAAAACAAACTAGATAGTAACTCAAAAATGGATCACCGATCTTATTACTCAAATTAGTCATTCTAATTAACTTCATAAGGCATTCATGTACTATTAAAAAAAATTCTACTTGAATGTATCAATGTTGATAACACATTCATAACGGTGTTTTATTCAAAAATTTGTCCATTAAGTTTGTTAAATGAAAATGTAAAATTAAGACTAAAGTGTCATTACTTTGAACCTATGTTCTGAGAACCCGACCGGACCTACAAGCATTTGTTAGGAAAAGTCTAGTAGTCTACAAGATGCGCAAGAAGAGACTAAGGCTCTGTTTGCAAACCCTATTGAGAAGTGCTTTTAACTTTTTTAAATGATTTGGTAAAAAAGTGATTGATAGTAAAAGTTTGTAGTGTTTGAGAAAAAAGTGATTTTGAAAAGTAAAAGTTGGTGGTGTTTGGTAAAATAAGTGCTTTTTGTGTAATAGAAAAAGTAAAAAGCAGATTCTAGCTTTTAGCTTTTAAGTAATTCATTTAAGTAGAAGTTGTCATTTGAAAACATCTTTTTTAGCTTTTTTAAGCCAAAAGCTGGGAAGTGCTTTTTTAGTTGTGTTTGCAAACAGAGCCTAAGAGCAGTTTTAAGCAGTTTTTTGGGTTGATTTTTTGCCATTTTGGGTTGGTTTCTAGAATGACTTTTTACATGGTTTGAGCAAACTTTACCTGGATTGTCTTACATTTAGGTGGTGGTGGCTACTGTTCTATTGCATTTTCTTGCTGCAACTTGACTCGAGAGCAAGTTATTGGGCAACTCATCTATTGCATTGCCTGGTTCATCAACAAAAGTCTCTAGGAGTGACGTCTTTGTTGCCGACACATGTGATTTGTCATTTTTTAAAATCATTATCATCTCAAACTATGAAAAAAGCAATAATATCAATAGAGCATATTGGCATATGATTGTCACACCGATGAAAAACCATATTAAAAATGGAAATGCGTCAAATGTTCTTAATTAGTACGGAGTAGTTTTTAAAATATCAACGCCACATATTGATAGTGCTCATACGGATGAAAACCCATATTAAAACAGAAATATGCTCAATGTTCTTAATTAGTAGATTTCAGAATGTGACAAATATTCTTTAAAAAAACAAGATTCAAAGGCAATTGTGGGAAACCATTAGAGTTTTTCTCATGTCTTCTTTTTATGCATGCACATATGTATGTTGTGGTATCGAGTGTGACAAAACCGTTTGACTTGAAGTTTGTAATATGTGACGATGAAAGAATTAAAAAAACTACAAAAATGTTGTTTGCGAAGTCTTCAAATCTTCAATAATATGTAATTCGTAAGCTTATTAAACTTCTAATAATTCGTATATGTTATTATTTATTTACAATTTCTCTATTAGTGTGATAAATAATACTAATATGATTTTTAAGTGCTTTATAATTAACATTTATAATAGGTATATATTACATCCCGTGCAACACACAGGTGAAATAAAGTTTGAACCATATGTCCGAGAACATATGTACCCTCTTTTATGGAACAAATAAACCCTCAAAATTTATACTAGTCCTATAAGAAAAGATAAAATCAGGGATGAAATTGGATAAAAGCAATTGATAAACTTGAGCAATCCCTGGATGGGATACCAAGCCAGCATCCACTTCAATGCTTGATATTTTCCCTCCTATAACAAACATTTTTCAATTGCAAAAAGATGTTATTGCCTAACATAGGATTTAGAAAGACCAACATATTTTCCTGCATTACATCACTCATCCAACTCCACCATGAGATCATTTTTGTATATCCACAAGGGGGTGGTGTCAAATATGAAATAGCGCGCTACACTTCATTAGACTGGCTGTGGTGATAAGAATGTTAAGGTTGCTAGGCCATCGTTCGAAAGCGATGTGCCACTCCAATGCCCGGGGATGATGTAAAATATGCAAGGGCATGGTGGGAGTCGATGTGGTGCGAAGAGGGTGAAAAACCCTAGCGGCTCTATTCGCCCAGATTGTTAGTTCGCATCTTCTTCTTTGCTTAAATAATGTCGAAAAAGTGGTTTGATGCTTGCATGAAAGGACATTTGTTCCCTAGTGTGTCTAGGGTTGCTGTTTAATTGCTATTGAATACACTCTTCTAAACATAGATCTACTCTTCTCAGAAGTCATCTTTTTTCTCAAATCGTCTATGGTGTTATCGATGACTCTCCCCCTTCTGAACCACCACCATTGATTGGAAGAGAGATTCCATTGACGTACTGTCGAGCGCGACATATCTACAGATATACTAAAATCACGTGAGGGCATTACAACGACATGATTGGATAAGGATGATTAGTTTCAACCGTATTTACAATTTACTTATTTATGCACTTTTTAATACTTTTTGTTCATTTGTTATAATTTTTTTTAGAGATATGAGAGCCTTGAGAGGTCTCTCATATCATTTTAGAAGCATAGAGATCCATATGATCAGATTAATGTTCCATTTGTCTGTTAAATGGTTAGCGAGTTTTGCGACTCATTTGTGAGTGATAAAGTGTAAGTCTAATCATTAGGGTTCTCATTGGAGTTGCAATTATCGTTAGACTATTTTAATGATGTTTGATTTATTCTTTAATATAAGCAGTTTTCCATTAAAAAAACATAAGAATGGTAGCACAAGCACTACATACCACAACACACACTTGTCTAGTTGTTGCTCTCGAATGTAGCTACTTGTCGGTGTTCTTGCCTTTCTAGCTTCTAGGCAACCCAATTCTTTTCTTAGAATAGGCGCCAAAAGCTCATAAAATGCATATGAATCGTAAAAAATTTTCCGAACGAATGTAAGATTATCCCAACCATTCTAGGTGAGGGTGTTGTCACTCAGTAAGAAATATAAAAGGCAAGTTAAATATCAAGTAGAGCCCAAGGTAAAGTGGTGGTGGCTCGAGGGATCTTCAACAAAATTTTACAACAAAATGATTGGTGAAGATGTGTTGTGTAGTGATAATTCCGTATATGTGAAAGATGTTTGATTATCAATAGAGTACACAATTAACAAAGTGACAAATGAGATATTTAGAGAATTTAAAGAATGCCTCCCATAAAAAAGATACCTGATGTGAAACTAGCCATAAAGACAAAAGAATGCTATAAAGACAAAAGAATGCGTGAAGGAAGCATGAAAGAAAGTGAACAAAGAGTGTAGGTAAAATTGAATTCTAAAGGAGAAAATCTCTAATTTAGATCCCAAATCTCTAACTTGGATCTCGAGAGGTAGAACAGTGAACAAGTGATAAGTATCGGGAAGGAACTTTCATGAAATTAGTAAATGTCACTTTCTAGAGAAACGAAAGGAGGTAGAAAAGTAAAACAAAAGTTCTGCAGCCCACGTTCTTTATAAGTAAATGAAGCTTGACAGAGTCGAAGGGGTTACTAAAAATGATTAAAAAAACATAAAATAAGTTTACAATGAGCTAAAACAAAAACAGAAAAATGATTACAGACGAAAAATATATTTACGCCAAAAACAATACTACGTATTACTTCGAAGTGTAGACTCAGCTCGCCCCGCTTATATAAAACCAGGTTTGAGCTTTGGCTGTAGGTATATACACCTCAATGATACACAGGACGACTCAGAGAACAATCCTGTATATCTGAATATCTGATCTGCACATATATTCATAGAAAGCCTGGCAAATGATAAGGGAAGTTAAATATCAGAAAAGGACATTCCCCTCACAGTTGGTTCATCCTAAGAGTATGTAGCCGGGCGGCGAGAGAGTCATAGTCGGGAAGCTTTGGATGAACATGACTAACATACTTTGAGTTCTTCCCAGCTAATGAATTATCACTTGAACCTGATGCCTCCCCAGTTTCATGGCCGGAATGAATAGCGGGTTCACCTACAAAACCCGACTTATAATCAGTGGGTCTTTCTGGCTTAACTTGAGAGCTAGACGGATTTTTCGTTTCTGAACTAACAGATGAGAGCTTCGTCCTTCGAGAAAATTGAATTCCCAGTTGGTTTCTACCGGTGAGCGATGATTTTCGAGGAGAGGGCACTTCAGAATCGCTACTGTCTGAATAAAAAAGAGCAGCCTTTGAGCCTCTTAAGCTAGACTTATTGTGTGTATCTGACTCATCTTTGTAGCTTAAGATCTCCTGAGAAAATTCTTCATCAGAACTGTCAGAGTCCTTATCCGAATGGGAGGAATTAAGCTTACTTTTCTCCAAGCTAGAAGAGTTCTCAATTTTATGAGAAGGAATAGATTCTGGCTCCCAAAGAGGGACCTCTTTGGATTTGTGGATCGAAGGGACACTGTTCTGACCAGCTCTCATGAATGGAGGAGGGATCATATGCTTATGCCTAAAGCCACCTGTTAACTTTCCATAGTTCAATTCCTGACCATAAACGGTACCAGATCGAGTTATGTTCCCATCATCTTTAGTACCACTGATCATTGATTCATTAGACGAAGTATAATGCGACAGTTGTGTCCTATCCATTCGAAGAATTTCTCCCGTGGAAGATCTTTCTATATCATCTCTTTCAGAACTCTCACCATCTGAATCATCAAACGTTGTTGGGAAAAAAATGTCTGCCTCTGAGTTCTCTGTGGTTCTTAAATTTCGAGGGGACTTGGAAGGTGAATGTATTTCCATGAAAAATTGTTGTGTTGGAGTCTTTTTCTCAGGAGAGTCATTCATGTTCATACTAGGACCCCAAGAATCAGAAATGGCAGAGGAATATGTTGGTAATTTTACTTCAGGTGGTGATGAACGGTCAAAGGTGGACTGGTGGTCATCATCATCATCATACACAGGACCTGTACCAAAAATAGTATCTTCACTATTATCATAATGGTCTGAATTTGGTTCATCAGAAATTGCAGAGGATGCACCATGAGACTGCATCTGCACATTTACTTCCCGAGGATTCCCTTCTTCATCACTAATAAAAAGATTCTCACTGGCTTCATATATAAAGTTTTGGTCACCCGAGTTTTGAATGTGATCAATGTGGGTAAAAGTGGTTGGATGCAAAGAGTAAGGAACATTTTGGCGCTCTTCTGTAGTTTTTTCATCTGCGAAGCAGTTGAAGTTCTCATCTTCAGGTTCTGAATCACGAGATTGGCTGGCCACTTCCTTGACTCTTTTCTCCCCCCATATATCTTTTTCATGAAGACTATGCACTGTGTTGTCATCAGTTATTACAACTCTTGACCTTGAAGAAACAAATGCATTTCGTATCTTTTCACTATCCTGATCTTGTAGCATAGAACTTTGACTAGGCAACAATATGTCTCGTGATTGTTTAGAAGTGTGTTCGCTAATATTATTTGAAGCATATCTATTTCCCATTTCTTTATCTCTTGAAAGTCTAGCAGCTGCTCTAGCAGCCTGACTTGCACGTTCTGCAGATTCAGCAGCAGCCTGTGCAGCAGAGGCAGCATCCTTAAAGTCCATGTTCCAATTCTGCCTATCCAAATTAAATGTTTCATTCTCAGAAAGGGAGTTCCTGGCTTCTGACCTATGACCTGCAGTGCGACGAACGAGTAGTATAAGATCCACGAGAATCCAAGATTGAACTCTTAGGATGAAACTTTAATTCTTAATCTGATATCATATCTAATTAAGCTCAAATGAAAAATGAACGACTAAAAAAAAGTATAAGGGTTTCAAAATTGGTTAAAGATTTTAATCAATTTAGAAGAAATTGAACTTTTTTTCCTATTAAGTTGAACTTTTAAGATGGCGCCACAAATCTTAATAAAAGTACCTGAATGTGTCTCTCTGAGGTGAGAGGAAGAAGAATACACTTTGCCACTACTACTACCACCTTGTGGAGAAGCAGAATTATAAATTCCCATTGAAGTTCCTGAATTCATTTCGGAGACATTTGGAGACGTATAATATCCCTGATTATGGATAGGGTTAGTACTGGCGTCCCCAGAAAAATGAGGGTGCTCTTCATACATCTTACTGGCTTTCTCAAAACTGCTTGGTCCATTCTGGTCATATGGATCAGATATATTCATTAGAGGCTTACAAAAGAAGTTCAATTTAGTTCTGCCTCGAGATACTGATGAGCTATCTAAAGCAATATAATTATATACCAGCAAGTCATTGGGAGGTAAGTCTGACTCTCCAAATGATTCAGGATCGAATTTAACACCTTGCTCCTCTGCAATAGCTGCCAATATTTTTAGCTTGGTTTGTCCATCGGGCACCTTTGCTGATAGCTTCTCCACTAGCTGACACAAAACAACATGAAACAATGTTTAGTTGCTGATAAGCAGAAGGAATGATTTACATCAAAATAGAATATGCAAATGCTAAAAGGAGTAAAGATGAAGAGAAGATCACAAGCAATATGAGCTTACAAGGCGGCTGACGCCAGAATTAGGACGCAACTCAATTGCTGCATTGATGAATTCTTTCCCATATTTTGCAGTAAAATGCTTCCGAATATCTATAAGTTCTTGCACATCTCCACATCTTGGTGATGCGAAAACTACGCTTGTAATGGCTTCCTTCAAATCCATGGGGCAGTTTCTGTATATCCAACAATGAAAGAAAAGCTGCATCAAAATGTAAGACTTCCTGGCGATGATGCAACCATATGGACATCCATGGGGCAGTATATCTTAAGAATGCATCTCGCAACCATATGGACATCAATATAAAATGTAAGACTTTCTGGCGATGATGCAACCATACAACCAGATTGCCAAAATTACTTACTTTTGTGATTCAATGATTTGCAGGCGTGCCACGATAAGCTCACAGTATATCTCTATCAGATCATATGCAGCAATGTTCTTTTCTTCCGTAACCACATGCTCAACCTGATAATTTTGTGTAGAAACGAAAAGAGCATTACAGACGGGAACCACGATATCACATTACCCTAAGCAAAGTAAATTCATAAAGACAAGACAAAGAAGGATGAAGAAGGAGAACGTAGCAACCAAAACTTTATAATTCATAAACACATTGAAATGAGGTAGCAGAATTGATCAATTTAACTTCAATAGCCTTTTACCCCCAAATCATGGCATATTTAAAACTATTCACAAGTATGTTGGTTGCACGAGTATCCTGATCTGCAGACATTATCTTGATCGGAGATCAAGATAACATTGATAGATTCTCAAAAAAATAACCAATACAATGAGCAAAACTAGACGATCGCGGACATTCAACACCAGTTAATTCAACTGCATATGTGATCTGTAATCCGTCAAGATTGTCATAGTTGGATTCCACAACATCACAGTCTATTAAATGATAGAGAGCAGAAAGTCTGAAAGAAAAACACAGATAGTGCTATAATTAATTACGCGAATTAGAGCCGTTTGATTCTGCCTTGATTCAAGCAGCTGTGCGAGTTCCCTCTTCATCTGCTTGACTTGCACTTCTTTCTTGTTCCTCAATATCTTCAATCTCGAAGACGCTAGCTTCAAAGATGTCTTACTGCATCATTATTTTGAATTCAGTTCCACACGATAGCTATTGCATAAATACATACTGCATCATCATATAAGGTCATCTGAATCAATCAAAAAATTACCATTTAGCGGGATTGAAGCTTTTCGTGAGCGCATCTTTGGAACTTCTCAAAAAATTGCTCGATTTCTTCATTGTCCGAAAATTGAAAGATCGTATGTATATAGTTCTGCGAACTGGACAGAATTGAAGTTTATCCCTGGTATATGTTGGTTGTATATTGATGAAAAATCAATACCAATATTAGATTGACACGGCAATAGGTCGGTTTTCTGATCAAGTTTTAGCTGAGTCCATGAGGAAATTGAATGAGATTTCCGGGAAGATACAAGATTAGTGTTCGGACTTCGGATCAGGACGGGTGGAATTTGTTCCCATGTGCGATAACGTGTCCCAATGAATTCGTACGGTCTTGTTTGGTAGAAATACAATAGAACTGTACACAGGCGGCAAAAAACATACGACTACATACACAATTTCGTTTTGTACGGTATGTGAGAGTATTTTTTTTGTCTGTGAAGCGCAGTCCACAGACATAAGTTGACTTGTTTTTTCTGTGAAATTTTCCACAAACAAAACAAGCCAGCTTTTGTCTGTGGACTGCGCTTCACAAACAAAAAATAACTCTCACAGACATATGCGTGTACTGATGGGTATAAAAACGTGTACACCAAACATTCTTCAATGAATTAAGAGTGTTTTTACTTGCATGTTTTCCGTCTCTAATCACATCAGACCAGATCAGATCAAATCAGTTCTGATCAGATCAGATCAGACCAAACCAGTTCTGATCAAATCAGACCATACTTTGATAGTTATAAAATACAGAGAGACCAAACATTTACCAGATCATACCAGGATAGTTCAGATTAGATCATACCAACAAATTTCAGTTCAAGTAAAAACATCCTAATTAGGGAAATTACCCCAAGAATGTTTTTAATTGGAAGATTTTCAGCCCTAGACCAGACCAGATCAGACTTTCATAGTTATAAAATACACAAAGACCAGACATTTACTAGATCGGATTAGACCAGTTCAGACCAGACCAGACTTAAACAGACCAGACTAGACCAACAAATTTCAGTCCAAGTAGAAACATCCTAAATAGGACTGAAAACGTTTGTATATTTCAAAATAGGACTATCATCTTTTTATTCCCAAAATAAGACTAATTACTGTCATGTTTTTGACAGTACCAGACATTAAACATTACAGTTTTCCCAAACATGACAGTAATTACTCATATTTTGTAAATAAAAACATGATAGTCCTATTTTTGGAAATTTCAAAGTTTTTACTCCTATTTCAGGAATTTTCCTAATTAATTAATATAAAGCTTTTTTCACCACGTAGTAAATTTTAGTTACTTTTTTTAAAAAGTAAACTGGCATATATTAATTCAACTCGTCATTCTCCGATTGGAGTACAATACTATCAGTGGAAAATCATAACTCAAACTACCATCCGACACCGAAAGGACAACCCGTGCCAACGAGTTAACCTGTTTGCGGATCATTTACAATGAATGATCTCTAAACTAGCTTCATTGTGAAGAATGTGTCTAATATCATCAATAATTGTGTCAAAACAAGAGTTCACTTATCACTCTATGATGCTTGAGAGTTGAGACCATTACTAATGAATTTGTCTCTAGTTTGACATGTGCCCATCTTTGTTCTTTGATTCATGCAAGAGTTTCCCGAACCCCTATGGCTTTTGAAACCGATGCATTTCAATTCACTTGAACTATTCAACTGCCACCGGCTACAAAGTTCCCATTTGCATCCTTGGCCACCCAATCCCATGAACGTGTTCAAGCAACCACCGGCCTCCTCCATCTTGGCGCCATCTCCATGGGCTTTTGCACGTTCCTCTGTCGCTGCGCCTCCTGTCAATTTTTCAGCATTAAAAATCGTCCCACAATTTTCCGCCAGCCCACCACTCTATTCTTCCACGTTCTATCATTGCGTGCGTCCCAGACTCCATAGAGAGAGACAACAAAGCTGTTGAAAGCTTTCTATTGCAAGTTTTCAAAGAAACACTGAATCCACATGCTGAAAGTTTCCCGTCCCTAATAAAATTTGCTTACCAGTTGTTGTCAAACCGCTCGAGCCACCTGACAATCCTTAAAAAGATGCAATTCTGTTTTCGGATCCTCCTCACACACTTTGCATCGGCCACCAATGTTCACTCTCCTTTTTTGTAGATTGACCAATGTCAGTAGGATTCCTTACATCAATTGTCAAAAGAAACATTTAATTCTAGGAGGGATATTCAAGCCCCGCACTTAAGTCCATCCCACCCACTCTTAACAATATAAATACTTCATGGGTCTGCATTCCACCATATTCCATCATTTATTCGCCGTTTGCTCAAAGGGATAGCTAATATGCTTTTTCGTTCTTCCGAAGAGAATAGTGTTGTTATTTTTGCGACGTTCCAGCTGTCTCCATTCTCAATCAGTAGAGTTGCCACATTCATATCGTAAATTCCAGTTGGCGGAGGTGTATGGATTATGCCATCACTCATCCCGAGTTGCCACCTCTCCTTCCACATAGAAATTGTTCGGCCATTTCCAGCCTTTTTATGCAAGCCTCTGCCCATCATCTCCTGAGCTTGAGTAACACTGCTCCACATAAAAGATGGATTGCTCATTGGTTTGACCTGCAAAAATAAGTTATTAGGAAAATATTTAGTTTTAATTATTCTTCCCACTAGCTACTCAAGTTCTTTAATCAGTCTCCAAGCTTACTTCCCCAACATTGCTATATTGAATTCTCTGATAGAACGGTAACCCCAAACCTGCTTTGTATTTAGGTTTGCATAGAGCCTACCAAGTCTTCCAATGTATATCCCTTCTGGTCTGATCCGATCCCCTGACCAAACACCGCTCATAATGGTCTCTATTTTTGAACATGTTTCTCTCGACAAGAGAAATACATTCATAGCGTAGGTTAGCAATTTAACATAATTTCGCACTCTGCTTTGGATAAGAATTTATTCCTCCAATACTAATTCTATTAATTATTTGCTCCTCCAAATACCCTAGTATATCAATCTTCTTTCTTCCAACTTGTAACACCCCACCCGGCCCGGCCCCGCCGACCCGAGTGGCGCGTCACTTGGCGGAAAATCAGAACGGATTTAATCAAAAATACTTTTCGTGGTTCAAGAAATAGTGCCTCTTTTTTACTTTAAACACAAAACATTTAATAAGAGATTTTATTACTTAAAATAAAGTGTATTAATTCCAAAATGACTTCATTACTAAATACCAGAAAATGTCAAACTCACATGGAGTAGAATGTTATTAAAACAGTCATAACTTAAACATCATAAAACACTTCAAGGAGTGCAGCGGAAGTTCTTAAAATCACATATGACATATTGAAGTCCTTTATAAAAAAAAACACCAAATAACATGGCATGCAAATGCGTCCTACGCCTCTTTCCATCCTCGTGCTCCTAGCGGGTTCCGTGCTCAACCTACGGGTAGGAAAACACACAACTACCCGCTCAGCAATGTGCTGAGTGGTACGGTAATAACAATAACAATAACAATAATATTAACATATCAAACATATTAATATATCATAATTCACATCTGATCAGACAAACATATAACATACCTGGGTGAACCGAACAGCTGTTATAAAAATACAGATATTTACATACAGAATAGAATCATACTCAAATATCATATGGCATAAATATCAGATAATTTTATTCTGAGATAATTATTATATTCTTCTTGTGTACAGAACAGACGCATATTCAGATATCATAATTATCAGATAATTCTATTTTGAGATTATTATTGTCATTATTTTTGTACAGAACAGAAACATATTCAGATATCATAATTATCAGATAATTCTTAATCTGAAACTTATCATTTATAAAAACATATTCATTTAGCCTTAAACTCTGGAATCTGGACCTAGACTGAGGAATACTAACGGTAAGGAATACGGTCGATCGAAGTCCGTACCCACATTACCCAGAAGGAATATGGAAACGTAATCGCCGGAGCTACATGTATCAATCCCTGACAGAAGCTAGCTGAACAGAAAGGACGGAATCGCCGAAGAGACCCGAACCTCAACAGGAGAGTAGTAGTGCTCTAAAAATATTTCAGGAGTGTACGAAGTACACTAAACGGAACAGGAGTGTACGTAGTACACTAAACAGGAGAGCACTAATTCCTCTAAACAGAATTTCAGGAGTGTACATAGTACACTAAACAGATCGGGAGTATCCTAGTCAGAGTACCGAGTCAAGAGCAAGGCTTTTTCCATAATAATTGTGACACCGCACCCGGATGTACTTGAATTTGAAATTCGACTTGTATTTGAAATTACTAGCGAATAAATTTCGTGTAATTGATTGATGTATTTAATTAATGTGAGATTAATTAAATTATTTCTCGGGTCCATTATATGAGAATGGGCTACCAAATATTTAGTTGGGTCATCATAATAATTATAGGAGCCCAATAAAACGCCAACCGAAGTTGATAAAAATGTTTGGACGACCCGAGTGCTATTTTGGCCCAACTTACCGAAAATAGCGGGAATAATTGGGAGGGACTTTCCACACCCATTTAAGACTTTCCCTACATGTGTTGGACACTCTAATCAACCAAATGGGACAACAAGGGAGGGGGTGGTGCGGACAAGAGAAGGAGGAAACCTCCTTGGGACAAAAACCACACCCACCATGGCCCTACCCCTTTGTTGTATGTGTTGACTTAGATGGATGGAGATGCTCTCCTATCCTAGCATTAGTTCGAACCACACAAGAGAGAAGGACCTCCAGGGAGTTATCTCAAAAAGGCTAAGGTAGAGGGAGCATCAAGAGGGAAAACCCAACAAGAAAGAGCAAGAAGAAGAGGTAAGAGCACCACTTCTACTCTTTTTGCTAGTTTATGATGCATGATTTTTTAGAAATCATGTGGTGGATTAAACCATGAGTTTACACGTTTAAAAGTGTATAATATTATTATAAAGTGGTGGTATTTAACTTAGAAGAGTCGTGGAATCGATAGGAGTTGATACCGCCGGAAACCGCCACTCCAAAGGAGCTGTTCGTAGAAGCAGACGACGAAAGCCGCCCAGCTTTCGTGAAAGCCGCCCGGCTTTCACCTTCTGCCCAGATTTTTCGCTTTCGATCGGTTCAGAACGGGGGTTGATCGGAGGGCTTAATAAAGGCAACTATTTCAGCACTTCATAAGGTGAGGATGGCTGACTATATTGCTTATAATCTTTGGGTTAATTTCATAAGATTACCTAAAGTAATTAAATGTGATTTTCATGGATTATTAATGGTTAATAATGCCTAAATGAAAATATCATTGTTTGTGAATAGAAGATGCATAACATACAAATTTATGAGAAAATTGTGTATGATGATGCATAATAAATGTGA